TATTTCCTAAGGGTTTGGGAATCTGCACTATTTAATAAAGAATCTGTTTTTATTATGTCATAAACATGTTGACTAAGCGAATGGAGACACTGCTCCTTTCCTCTCTCTGCTCCCGGGTCTCCCTCTGCTTTCTGTTTACAGCCACCAGAGGACTCATCCCAGTATTTAGTGTTGTTGTTGGCTGGCTCCAGGGATGGGCAATAGTTTATCATCCTGTCATAAGTTCGGTAAAAGGCAGATTATCTCCAGTATTAGATTAACTCCTGCTCACCGCTGAGCCATGGAAATCATCACTCCCTTTCCTTCAGAATTTTAAAATACATTTTTCTGCATTTCCGTTACAAGTGAAGATGAGCAGGGTTCTGTTCTGTGGGAGCTATTAAATGCAGAAAGAAAGAGGTCCAAGGGGGAGCAGCACTGCACACGTCCACCATTTGATTTAGAGACTCAGTTCAGATTCTTAAAAATCATTAGAAAACAAGCTGCCTGTCTGAGTTTTTAAAAAAAGATCAGTCAGCTTACTCAGAGGTAGAATTATGTAATTTTCTAGTCTCTAACATCGTTCAGGTGCTGTGTTCACCATCAAACCATTTTGATAACACTGAGCCGGTATCCTCCTGGAGAAATTACCAAGAGCTTCATTTAAATCAATGTTTTTTAAACTGCAGGTCATAGTTTATTAGTGGCTGTAAAATCAGTTTGGTGGGTCACAGCCTGCATTTAAAAAAAAAAAAAAAAGCTAGAAAATGTCATTGTTTTCCTGGTAACATGAATGTTCTTTTATTCTATTGTTCAAATTTGTATATTTACATGTGATTGTATATGTGTATATATCAGGTCACCATGCAAAATGCATATCTTACTAGGAGCTGTGATCAAAAAGTCTGAAAGCTTCTTATGTTCAATGGGGACCTATACATACTGATTCCTTAACTGTCCATCCTTTAGTTGTCAGTCCCGTTAGTGTCACTGCCATTAGATAATCTTTTTCTATTTGTAGGCCCACATCCTTGTTCTGCCATCAGCCTAATGCCATGTTATGGTTTCCTATAAACTGCCCCATTTCTAATTAGAGATGTTGCTGATACATGTATTCCAACTTCCTCCTCTCTTCTTGTTTAAGGAATAATTTTGATGATTTATTACCATTTTACTTTAAAAGCCCATTCCTCTTTTCACCACATGCTTTGCCCTTCAGAACTGCAGAAGGACAGATTAGCGGTGACTGAGTCTCCCTTCCTGGTGCAATGAACTGAACCTTTTGTCATCAAGAAACTCACTCTTTGTTTCTGATAATGCATTTGCCATAGACTCCACTCTGTGGGATAGTAGTGTAGCTATACAGCTGTCTTTTGGTTAGTGTTTGCAGAGTGTATCTTTTTCATATATGTCTATATGAAAGGCATCCTTATATATATTTCTGCATCTTTATATTTACCGTGTATCTATTTTTAGCAGGATATAGTTAGATTTTGTTTTGTTTTGTTTTTAAATCCAGACTGAAAGTTTTGACTTTAATTGAAGTATCTGGTGTTTTTATATTTAGTGTAGTAATTGACGTATTTGGGTTTAAATCTACCATCCTATTTGCTTTCTTGGTTCCCCCCTGCATTTCTTTTTTACTACCTTCCTTTTTTCTCCTCCATTGCCATCTTTGGGGTTGATTTAGCAGTTTTGCTACTCCTTTCTCCCCCTCTATTGGCTTGTTAATTATATGTTCTTTTCCTACACTTGAGTGGCTATTCCAGAGCAATAGTCTACTTGTGTTTTCTATTAAGGGCCAGATAGTGCACGCTGTAGGCTTTGCGAGCCACATAAAGTATCTGTTGTATATTCTTCTTTATTTTTTTACAACCCTTTAAAATGATAAAGACCATTATTAGCTAGCAGGCCATATAAAAAATAAGCCGGTGGCTGGATTTGGCCCTCGGGCCATAGTTTTGGCAACTCCTGATGTAGAGACTACAACGTGCATCTCGGACTTACTAAAGTCTACTATCAGTCAGTACTTTTACCACTTCCCAGCCAAAGCAAGGACCTTAGAACACGCTAACTCCATTTACTCCCCTCCTGACTAGTATGTGAATATTGTCCTATATTTTAATTCTTCATGAGAGGTTGAAGGTGTTCAACGGGGTTCCGTGGGGATACATTTTACAAGCAGATGCATCTTAAAATGAGGAAGTCAGAGACAGATGCTTGTAGGTCACTGTGTGAGGGCTGGCAGGGGGGATCCTCAGGCTTCTTTGCCCAGTTTTGATCAGAGGTCTAGTCAGTGAGATTGGGATTGGGTGTCCGGAAGAGAGGCTTATAGTACTATGTGGTACCCGGTAGGAGTGTCTCTGTTTAGGGTGGGCATCGGCCACACCTAACAGTCTTAGGATGTGGATTCACAGCACTAGAAAGAATAGCCACGTGGTTTAGGGTGGGGGCTTTGAGTGTGGGATCAGTCCACCTGAGGCTGAGATCAAGCAGCTAGTCAGCCAGCCCAGCCTCCATGGTGGACACCAAGGCCCCAGGGGCTCCCTGGTTGGCAGAGCTCTATGTATGTTGCCACATATGGATGCCCGGAGGGGACCGCATCCTGACTCCATGGGGAGAGGACACAGAAGTCCCACAATTGGTACTTTTCCTGAACTCTGCCCCTGAGTCCCTCTCTGGACTGGTTTGAATCTCTATTTCTCTGTAATAAACTGTAACTGTGAGTATAACAGCTTTCACTGTCTTCCGAGAGTCCTTCTAGTGAATTATCAAAACTGAGAGTGGTTTGGGAACCCCCGAACTTGCAGTTGGTGTGAGAGGTGAGGGCAGTTTTGGGGACTGTATCCTCTAGCCTCACAGTTTGGCTAACTCCAAATATGTTTCACAAGAGAACCTGTGACAGATATTCAAGATAGGCATTTTCTCGAGTGCTTATTCCTCACACACTTTAGCTCTTGGTATGTTTGTTGATCCTAGACAACATGGGTCTTCAGATGTGCTGTGTTCTCCATCCAGACTGCTTTCCAGATGGGAGGGCAGGCAACGCATTCAGCAAGAGTCCTTAAACTATAGAAGGTGCAGCGTTTTTGCTGAATTTTGTTGTTGACGATCTTGTAAATCATTTTATTGAATAGGGTTTCAGTGCATGTGTTGCTCATCTCCCGTAGGACCCGATACACAGGCTAATTAATGTCCACCCTCTGGCCCTATCCATGCCCCCCAACCCCGTTGTTTCCCAGTGACATTTTCCTTTAGGGCCAGCAGGCAGGGGGTATCCACAGGCATTCCAGGGCCAAGAATGAGAATGCTGGTCAAATGTCTTCTCGGGCTGTTTGTTTGCATTTCGTAAAGACATATGTTCTCTTGGGAGGTACACCCCACCCTCAGCTAGCCACTATGGTGCGAAGTCTGGTACAGCTTGTTAGAGAGCAGGGGATCTTGGCTCTGCTGTGCTGTTCACGGGTCTGTGCTCTTCTTGCTGGAGAGAGTTGGGTGGAGATAGGAGCAGTCCTGCAGGATTAGGAAACCCGGGAGCCCTGCTGTCCTTGTGCCAAGTGTTTACCTAGAAGCCTTGACTTCCTTTAAAAGAGGCCCAACACATAGCCAATTAAAATTGCTTTTTAAATCAGCCGTACCATGATCAATAACTTGACTGTGTTTGCAAACGATTCAGTTTGGGTAACCCAGAGTCCCCCTGTTGAGGTAGAAATTTTTTCTTGTGTTTGGAAATGTTTTTTTTGAGACTTCTGACATTCATTGAGCAATAATGCTATGTTCAAGTATTCTGCTGATGCCTTGTCTCTTATTTTTTTGTCCTGTCACTAAGCCTACTTGAGGAAATAAGAATTTTTTTATTCCTGAAGGAAAAGGTGTTAAGTGACAAGAAGGAGCTATGTGCCGCAGAGTCATCCTAGGAAGTTAGCTCAGCTCCTCTGCGCCTGTCCTGAGGCCCAGCCTCTTTGAATATTAGTCATGTGAAGACAGTGCCATCAAATGGGTTACTATAATGGGAGTTATTAATCTGTTAAATCTTATAAATAGCAGGAATCACACTCTAGTCTCTGAACCAAATTACTGTGAACATTTTCCTTTGGGGAGAAAAAAAGAGTTTTCTGTCAGATATAATTAAACTTGCTACACAGCAGAGACAGTGAAGCTTGTACAGTGACAGAGACAAGCCCGCAGCTCAGGGCTCTGCACCTGCTGCCCCTCGGCCTGCCTTCTTCTCCCTCTGCTGTCCACACACCCTGCTCCCTGGCTTCCTCAAATGCTGGCCCCTCTGCTGCAACGTCATCTTCTCAGAGAGGCTTTTCTCAGCTGCCCTAACGACACGGCCACCCTTGTCCCTCCCACCCCGTTCTCTGTATTCTCTGCGTCATGACTACCCCTTCACGTATTGCATAGGTACTTGTCCTTACCACCAGACCATCAGCGCCATGAGAGCAGGGCCTTCGCGGATCCTGTCAACCGCTGCATTGCAGTGCCCAGTTGTAAGGGCTCAAAACAGTTGTTGAACGAATGGAAGGTAAGTCGGCCTTAGAGGACGGCTTTCCTTCCTCGGCTCTCAGGTTGAAAGTGCACTTCCGCAGGCAGGAGCCACAGGGACGGGGCTGAGATGAAGAATCGTAGAATGTGGTGCCGACTCCTTGGTAGCAAGTGCCACTGGCTGCCCTTTGGGCCCAGTCCATGGCCTATCTCTCGGGCGTGGAAACTACGAAATGGTGTGTGTTGCCACTGGGTCTGGTCCACACATCTGGGGGCACCCAGAGAAATTGCTTTTGTGTAGATGTGGAAGGGGAGGAAAGTGGAAGATGGAGGTTGAGTCTTAAGATGTGAGGTTAGAAGTATAGGAGTATTGAAAATCATGCGCAAAGGCCAGGGTGTTCTCTTGGTGTAGCGTAGCCTCTCCTGCCTCTGGTCTGAAGCTTTTTGTCTTCCTCACCTCTTTTCTTCCCACGGTCTCCTCCCTCCATCCCCTATTTCAGTGGTTACTAATGAAAACGCACCGTGTTTCCTAGGATTCCCGGCCGGCTGAACGACAGGAGGACTCCTTTGGGCGAACTGAATTGGATCTTCACAGCGATCACAGACACTATCGCATGGAATGTGCTCCCTCGGGGTGAGGCTGCCTGGGCCGGTCAGCGTGGGGCCAGGGAGGGCTGCTGCCTCGAGAATCAGGAGACACTGGCCCTTGGCCGTAGGGGAGTCAAATGGAAGAAATGAGTTCTCTCAGTGAGGAAAGCTGAAGGGGATGAAAAGGAGAAGGCAAGAACCTAAGGAGATGTCTTGAGGATGAAATAAGTTACCGTGTGTCAGGCACTAAGAACAGTGGTGTATCGTGAGCTCCAGACGCACATTTGCTCTGATTGTCAGTACATTACTCTCTGGGCAGATTCAGGGCTCGTCTTTCTTCATGACCATTGGCACTATCCGTATTTCTTAACACCAGAATTACTATTATAAGACTTGTTTGTATTTTTTCGTTATTGATGGGTTGGGTTTCGGTGTTTGTTCATATTTATGTAGGTATGTATATATTGCAATAGGAAATGTGCATACTAGTCCTAACTTGCTTGTAAAAATTTTTGATGGAAGTAAATTTGTGTATTTGGCTTTAAATGCTGGACACAAGTCACTGAAGATACCTTTTTATCTTTTATCTGCCCTCAGATCTCTTCCAAAAGCTCTTCAGACAGGACCTGTTGGTGGCTAGTCTGTTCCGAAATTTTTTATTGGCAGAAAGGATCATGAGGTCGTATAACTGCACCCCAGTCAGCAGCCCACGCCTGCCCCCCACTTACATGCATGCAATGTGGTAAGTGTCTCACACTGGACAGCGCCAGACTGACAGTTAAGTTCTCTAAATAGTGTGGTTTTTTTTCATTTCTACAGTAGAACAAGTTTAATGGAATTACATGAAGCAAAATAGGAAGACTTGCCACCAAACTTGGAGACCTAAGTGGTGTTGACAAGTAAATAAAATCATTCCTCCAACTCTCTACAAATGGGAAATGTGAGTCTCCTTCAGAAGCACAGACTCCTCTGAGGGTCTTTCCAGACTGAGCGGGACCAGCACCTCCAGAGGCCTTACAGTTGGATAGCTCAGGGACAGGAGAGGGCTTGCAGACGAGTTTCTGACTCTGTAGAGTCTAGTACAGAGAAAAGAAACTGCCAACTGAGTTTATGAAGTGTGTCCAAGATTGCTCCAGAGAATTAAAACCCTTGGGTTCATGACCAGTTAATTTGTATGCTTATTTCACACATGCACAAGCACACGTGCATATGCACACGAGTGTGATCTTTTATGACTGTTGATCACAATTTACCCCCAAAACTGGATCACTGCTACGTATGCTACCACTAATAACAGTAACAGTAATAATACTGTAAACTGCCTTTAATCTAGATGTCATGTCCGAAGGCACCTGGCCTCTTCCTGTTTCCTTGCTTTTGTAATGTAAGTGGAGTTTGAGGAAGTGCTAAAATGGGATGATAACCAAGGAAAAATAAGTCTTAGTTACATCCATCAGAGGGAGAAACCCTAATACAAATATTTAAAAAGAGCAATTCACTTATGTTTAGCCTTAAAAGCCGTTTTATGGTGTATTTTCATGGTCAGGTTTATATCAGCTAGTGATTTTTTTTTTTTTTTTTTAAATATATGCATGACCACTTCCCCCCGACACTGGAAACCCAGAGACCCAAGAAGGAATTTGTAAACTCACTGCCTCTCATCCACTCCAGGAAAATCAGGAACTAACATTTCTTATCTGTGAGACAAATCAAGATGCACTGGGCTAGCCACAGCACCAGGCTGTAAACAGAGTTAAAATTTGCATCAACTGTATCCTTTTTAGGAGTTTGTAGAATAAAATAGAGAACACTGATATGGAGAAACACAAAAGTGGGATTAGACCCTAAGAAGAATCAGTGACGCAGCCATTTACATCATGTAGAAACAGAGTCGCAGACCACAGCACATTCCGTTTCCATTCTTCCAGAAGACTGCAATGGGAAGAGAGATGGTTATTTGAAAAGCCTTTTTGATACTTAGAATGAAGACCCATGTTTCTGGAAGAGTAGATTCCAAAACTGCCTTATTACCTTAAGAAAAGTGATGCCTTAAATCCTGTCTATTTCTTCTGAACCAGGTTTTTATAAAATATCTGTTATAGGGCTGGCCCCGTGGCTTAGGTTAAGTGCGTGCTCTCTGCTACTGGCGGCCCGGGTTCAGGTCCTGGGCACGCACTGATGCACCACTTCTCCCGCCATGCTGAGGCCACGTCCCACATACAGCAACTAGAAGGATGTGCAACTATGACATACAACTATCTACTGGGGCTTTCAGGAGAAAAAGGGGAAAAAAAAGGAGGAGGATTGGCAATAGATGTTAGCTCAGAGCCGGTCTTCCTTAGCAAAAAGAGGAGGATTAGCATGGATGTTAGCTCAGGGCTGATCTTCCTCACACACACACAAAAAAATCTATTATAAAAAAGGAAAGAAGGGCCGGTCCCGTGGCTTAGTGGTTAAGTGCTCACGCTCCACTGCTGGTGGCCCGGGTTCGGATCCCGGGCTCGCGCTGATGCACCACTTCTCCGGCCATGCTGAGGCCGCGTCCCACATACAGCAACTAGAAGGACGTGCATCTATGACATACAACTATCTACTGGGGCTTTGGGGAAAAAAATAAATAAAAAAAAAAAAATTTGAAAAAAGGAAAGAGAAAGGAAAAAGAGCTGCCCAGGGTCAGTGCTGTATCTGGTCATGGATGAAAGCATGTGTGAAGTAATAAGAGATGGGCACCACAGCAGCTGCCCAGTGTGAGGGCCGCTGGGCCGAGCAGGTTCCTCAGGGGAGGAAACATGGAGTGAACTCGAAGCACCGACTGTTAGCGAGAAGCAGCCTGCGTCCTCCTATCCCCGTCCACCTGATCACTCCAGCAATGAGTCCACTGAAATAGTTTTATTTTTCATGCATGTTTCTCTAGGTGTGAAAATGCCTCCTATAACAGATGCTCAGCTGCTGCACTGGAGAAGATAGTAAAGGCCAGAGCCAATCAGGGAGCAAAGAGGACAGACAGGGCAGGTGAAAAGCAGGAGAAAGGGACCCAGGGAAAGGAAGCACATGGAGACGATGGCACCCATGTCTTTTCACCAACCTAGGGATCTTTCTCTGATATTGGCCTCTTAGAATGTTTCTGAACTCTAGAATTTGTGTAAGTACCGTTTCATGTAAGGCGCAAAGTGCCAGCAGCGTCTCATAAACCCGCGCGTCTCTGTTAGTGATACCCTTCCGTGCCAGCCTGGAAACCTAGGAATGTGGCCCTTTCTCCTGCAAATTAGCTGCCCGTGAATCTCGTAAAGCAGATCCTCATTTGTATTTATTTGTTGTGCGGAGAAACGTGAGATAACACAGCTCTCCACGAGGCCCAGGCAACGTGGAGAAAGCCTCGTGGGTATTCCAAGGCATGTGGAATTGCTAGCAGTCATCCGTGTCCACTTGGGTTTTTCTACTTTCCTGGTTCCAACCTCCCTGAGTGCTTCAAGGCCCCTCTGCAGCTAATATGCACCCTGAAGGCTTGAGTATAATCTAGTCACTCAGCCTTCCTGGTCCCCCCGCATCCTGCAAAGTGCTATCTATGGCCTGATATTCTCCCTGCTCCCTTTTGGGCGAATTCTAGTTGTTGCAGGTTGTGTTCCATGGGAAGCAAACTCGGAGACAGAGGTTAGTGGTAGGATGCTGTTAGGGAGGGCTCCTGGGATCACGCCCATGGTTGGGGAGGTGGTGGGACTGGGCAGAGAGGAAAGTCGAGTGGCAATACAGTCTCAGCAGTCTCCTCAGCCAGCCCTCGGGAATTTTGAGAGTGGTGACCCTTCTGAAGTGTCCTTGTTGACGTGAGAGGGCCAGACCGTTATCCTCCCTCAGCAAGCAGTTGTAGAAGCAGGCCACCCGGGGAGGGGGCAAGAAAACCTTTCTTCTGAAGGGGCACCCAGCTCCCAGCATGCTGGTCTGCTTCTTGCTGTAAGAGAGATTCTCACCTGCCTTGTCCCAGGCTTCTGATATCCCATTACTGTCATTTCAACAGGTCTTTCAGAGGTTCAGAAGCACAAAACGGAATTTCTCTCCTCTGAGTGTCCAGCTTTCTGGCTCCCATCCAACCTATTTCCAAGAAACACATTTCCTTTCCTAATCCACAAAAGAGATTGTCTTTCCAGTTGGTTTTGCAGAGCTTGTCACCAGACCCTGTTGAGGTCCATTGTGGTGATCACAGAATGGACTAGAATAAAGTGGTCAGCAGCTCCGTGCCAGCAGCACAGGTGAAACCCCAGTACTGCCAGTGCCCCAGGACTACAGACCATCCTATGTTCGGTGGAAGTGAATTTTGTTAATACGAGCGTGACCTTAGACATCAAATGGTAATATCGCCATTCCCAGTGCTCCCAGGCTGAGTTGAAAGATGCCACCCTGCTGCTCTGTAATTGTCCCAAAACAGGAGTCCTTCCCAGCAGAAAAAGGAGGAGGAAAGAGAGAGATGCCTCCGCTCCTGGCCCTTCTTGCTCCAAACTCCTAAACCTGTTTTGCTGTGCTTTATGGCTTTTTCATAATAGTAGTATGGATTTTTCATAGTAGTTTGGTAGACATTTCAGAGGAAAGATTTAAAGTAAAGCAGGCTGCATAGAGATGAAGTGTAAATGCTACTTGATGGCTGGCTGTAAGGATGGGAAGGGGTGGACCGGCCACACAGACTCTGTCATCTCCAGTGACTGGGCTGTGGCGGGCCTGATGCGGGAGCTCTGGGCCTCAGGATGGTCAGCCTTGCAGGCTCGAGAGCCGAGGAGCTGGGAAGCACCCCTCCTGTGCACGGACGGGTGAGGGTGTGGGTTTTATGTCCACATGGCTGAAAGAACGTTATGTGCTTCGGATTTTTTTTTTTCTCTTTTTCTTTTTTGAACCCAAACCTGAAGCATATATCTTGTGTACCATTCTGGCAGTTCATGTGGCAGTGAAGAAACCATTTTGTTGGTCCTTCAGCCTTAGGACTGAAGGAGTAGTTAAGATGGCAGTAACTGACCCTGAACCTGGGCTTAGGAAAGAACAGTGAATTCTAGAGCCCAGGGAAATGTGCTGAAATGCAAAAGATTATGTACTGAAAGAAAAAACAAAAAGTAGCTTACTAATTAAATACACATTATAAGAAAATCTGTCGGCTTTTTTTCTGATGGACATATTACTCTATTCAGTAATAGGGAATCCCTCCAAGTATCACTCAGTGAAAAATAGAAATTTTGCAGTCTGAAAAAGAATTGGGGACTGTATTAGTTATCCCTTGCCGAATAACAATATTACTACAAATTTAGTGGCTTAAAACACACACAGTTATGATGTCACGGTGCCTGTGAGGCAGGGTCTGGGCTTGGCTCATCCGGGTCTTCTGCTGAGGGTCTCTGCTGACATCACAGACAGCCATCACCTTCGCTGAATTCTGTTGTTAGAAGTAAGGCACAGGTCCCGCCCACGCCCCAGGGGAGGGACCCACTCTGGAGGCAGGTGTCCTGGGAGCTACTGTTAGTCTCCACCATAAGCAGCATCTTGTCATAAAGTGTTCGTTAACTGTGCTGAAAGCAGACAGACGGAAAGTCAGCAGGGAAATAGTGCAGAAGGCTTGGTGGGGGTGAGGAGAAAGTGGAGCCTGAAAAGGTGATTTGCCGTGGTTTTTACTAAGGCAAAGGCATTATCTTTGGAAGCAGACAAGTCGTGGTAAGTGATCAATAGGTAGTAAATATAAAAATAATGCCAGCGACTTATTAAGTACCT